CACTTAAATTAAAAATATTTGACCAAAAGAAAACCGGAGCAGGACTAGAGAGAGATGGATATGATTCAGATTTTTATTTCTGGGACCATATACGACCCATGGGAGACGTAGGAGCAGTCGTCATTTCATTCCTCTGCTTTAGCAGCTCCTTCAATTCCACAGCTGACGCTGCTAAAAATGACAGATTTTCTTTTCTGGATCTCTGAGAGCAGGACTTCAACCTCCAAACTCGTAAAGTTCTTTGTAGTTTGCGATGTCATTTATGAATGGACACTTCCTGGTATCTGGGGCAGGAAACGTATAGCCTTATATGGTGTTTTTGGGGTTGTAATTATGCTAAAATCCTCTCATGTGCGAGCACCTGGTACGTATTCATCAGTTTATGCTCCTCATTTACAGTTTTCCTGAAGATGGAAGAGTTTGCTGAATCTGATGTGGCATGTTCGTACGAACCCTTCGTATGAACAAAAGTAAGAGAAATTTTGGATAAGAATACAAACCTGTTCTTGCATGAGGTCCATTGTTTCCAACAGATACTTTGATATATAAATTTTATTAAAGACACCCATGAACACAAGAGTCCTATAAGATGTAGAAGAAACAAACRAACAAAAAACAAAGTTCAACAAAAACAAAAATCAGTCATTAGTAGAAAACATATGGCACGCTTGCAAGTGAAAATAGATTAAGGTATAGTCTGTTTTCAACAATATGGCAGCACTCCTTCCTGTTTGTCTCTGTCAACTGAACATTTTCATTTTCTTCTACTTTTAACTGTAAACAGTGTTGTGTTTAAAAAAAACATACTTCTCCCACTTTCAGCTTGCTCTTAAATCATATCTGTTTTACACTTCTGCTAAACAACGTGCTGAGCGGTCAGAGGGGTCCATATGGTAAGCTGAGCCTCGTCATGGATGAATGAACGGGTCAACGGAATGCTGCGCAGTTTTCGTTCAGACATATTCCCATCCATACACAATCCCAACCCACAACCACACCTCGACAATGTGAACGCCACGTCATGCGCGGCCACAAGAAATACTTTATTGGATGATTGGTTGTGACGGTCTGTGTAACATAACTTGCCTTCACAACACAGGAGTGGTTCCCCCTTTATTGAGCTGAACAATTGCAAGGGATTGCCAGGAGCAGTGGAGTCTCCCATGTAATGTATCCCTGATGGATTAGGGCTCCGGCTTGTGCAAAGAACAGAGCAGGCACTCATGGTTAATGGAAGAAACCGCAAGCAAAATGGCAGGGATTGATTGGGAGGGGGCAGTGTAATTAGTGGGTTACCTGATGTATGTATAGCCGTGGCATGCAAGGGTTATTTCAGGGGGCAAGAGGCCCCATATTTTTCTGTAGTTAAACTAAAACACCTGATCCTGGCTGTCAAGCTTCTAAAGCTTTTAGTTAACTAATTCYTGGTCTGAGCCATAGGGCCATTGCTGAATACATCTCAGGCTGCCTGCGTAAAAAAAGAAACCGTTCTAAATGTGCAGGTTGCATGTCACGATGCTGCAGCTCAGTAAATCGCTTTTGCACAATGGYCCAGTTTCCTATAACAAACACTGTCCCTGATAAGAAAACGATGAGTTGTCTAGACATTAGTCTTTATTAGATTGRTGACGTCTTCCTTTTCCAAATCACCAGTAACCGCTGTTGAYCTCTGTGATTGGTTGCTATAGCTTCRCATTCAGTTCCTAAAACAGTTGTCAACATAGCAACTAGTTTATGAAGTTCAGCCTGCTGAAAAAAGGTAGGAGGCTSAGTATAATGCAAGGTAGTTAAGAAGACAAGTTGCAAATCATTTATACACTGTTATTTAAAACTGCATTATACTTTATCATTAAAATGTATTTTTTTATTTGCAATGATAAAACGATGCATTACTTTTTTACTTGGTAAGAGCAAAAGCTATGTCTTAAAATAAAAATAGGTAGTTCAAGACTATCATCATGTTTGTAGTATTCTAAAACAGCATTGCTAAACATTTCCTAAAATCAGATTTTTTTTAATTCACTGCATGAAGTCATATTTCGTTAATTCCTCTTCAATTAAAACTAGTACTAAATGTGGAATCTTTGGCTACTTATCTGGCACTTTATTAAAAACGGATATGTTTCTGTTGTAAAAAAATATATCTGCATGAACTTATTTCAGATCATAGAAGACAAAAAATAGCTGTCTTGTGGTCTGACTAATCAAAAAAAAAAAAAGAAATTGTATATCACTCATATGAGTCATACTTCTGTCTAAAGAAACCATTCGCCTTATCTTCCCACAGTTGTAGACATCAGCTTCTAATATTACATCGGCACATTGTCACACAACTGGAATTTCAAACTTGACAACAAATACACAAAACAATAATCGGCACTTTCTGTCATTTTCAAACCAAGATTAAACTTTTTTTGTTGAACATCAGTTTAACTTTTTTCTTTAACACTGTTTTGGGCTTCATTTGAAATGATCTTGTTCAGAAAGTGGTGCAGATTTGCAGGCAGAAAGTGCGTCACATTTTTAACTCGAAGCAAAAAAAATATTCAGCACACAACTTTAACCGTGCTACATTTTTGTTCCACAAGTGGGTAGTTGAAACTTCTTTTTTTTTTTTTTTGCTTTACGTTCTTTACTCCTCGATTAACAGACGAAACCTGACCTACTGAAAATATAAACAACACTACACAACAAATGGAATGTATTAATTCATAGCAAGAATTGGAAAACATTGTACAGTTATTGCTGAATAAGGGGTCACTAAATATTATGTAATTCTGTGTTGACAACAAAGCAAAGTAAGCAAGTATTACATTGTTTTTACACTCTGAAAACGATGCCATAATGATGATGATAATGTCCTGAAAATACAACTGATCGTTTTTTCTCGTTGTAGTTGCTAACAACATACCACTCATTCCTAATGAATGTTAATGTAATTTTAATTGTAGGGACACTATTTTCTCTTTTTAGTTGAATGAAATCCTCCTTTGTTTAAAAGCAACAGTGGCTTATTATGCAGTTTATGAGAAGTTAAATTGATGTCACAATGCTTTGTGGATATTTGGGGTTTTCTCGTTTCATGTGTTTGGTAATGAAGGCGATGTGCTCCACACCCAGTTTAGCAGCAGCGTTTTTTACCACAAGGGAAGTAGAACTCACACACTCCAAAGTGTGCTTATGTCTGCAATTTGTGTTAGTTTCTCTTCACGTCAACCGAGCAGTGAGGGTGAATTCCAATGTTTACCAAAGAAATAAAACTGGCAGTTCTCACATGTATATTTGACTTTTTTTATTGATTTGAGTTCTCTCACTTTTGTTTCAAACTAAAAGTTTAACCAACGTTGTATATGGGATTTTGAGAGCTGGCTGTATTCGTGCAGAGTTTAATGGTCACAGTAGTGTGAAAAATGCATCTGCAAACAGAGACCAGGGGAAACATGAGTTAAACTGTGTGTAGTTTTTTTTTTTTTTTGACTAAAACTGTGGCCACACACACATATCGGGTCAGTGTTTTCCTCCGGTTTTTCTAAAATTGGTTTATACTTAAGCTATTACCACTTCCACCTTCACTCATCAGTAATTGTTGCTTCTTTGACAAATTACCATTATTTAAAAAAAAGAATTTGCCTTAATTAAACGAACAGATTGAAAGCATTAACAAATGATGGCTTTTTACCATATGTTCAAGTGAGACGCTCACGAGTGAAATAAAAAACGAATTGGTTTTATTATTAGCGGGTTTGCTTTCTAAATCCGAAATGGAAGCAAACTGCTATGTTTAGCGCCTGCAGAGCTGCTGGCAGTTTTTACTACGGGGAATGCAACAAGTTTGACTGAAGAAACACCTCATTGTTTATGTGCATGAGACGATGTGATGGTGTGTTGTTTTTGGCCCAAGTTTGTTCTCAAGTGGGTACTAGGGTGATGGCTAAAGGACTCACTGGTATGTCTTGACCTCCCTAAGACCATTTTTACAACCTCAAGCACATTATCTGTGAGAGGGGTGGCTGTGTGTTCCCTTAGAATTAACAATCTTCAATTCAGACTTCCACAGAAAAAGGAGCTAAATGGCTTTTATTTATGGTCAACTCGACAAACAAATCCTATCAAAATATGAATAGAAATTGTAGAAAGTTTGCCATCTGTGCAGCGTTTTATTTGTTGAACCCCCCGGTCTTGTAATTGTTAAATATGTATTTTTTTAAGCTATAGCCACCGATCAAAGTCTTGACACCAGACGTGCTCCACACAAGTATGCAGTAACCAGAGCCAATTGGTGATGGACAGCAAACACCCCGTCACAGAACTTTAGTGTGGGGGCCCAAATGGGCTCCTATTCATCTGCCTGGACAAATCACAGCCTGGGCAGAGAGCCATATTATCTTAGCTGCCCCTTTCTTGTGAGCCCTCTGAAGTCACTAACTATTGTGAGCCAATAACTGGTGTCTGCGACCCAGCATGCACAAGTACGAGCGAAGGTTTAATCAGATTTTAACAGGATATGATCATATGAGAAAAGGTACTTCTTATTTTTAGAGTCAAATTGATCCACCTCCCATTACTGTTACGTACAGTTGGTTTTCAAACTGGAAATACGTAGTAGTTTCCCCAAGAATGTCGCTAATCTAGGAGGGTGCAGCAGTACGCATCGCTTGACATCAATGTGGCCTTTTGTAGTCTTGTAAATAAAACTGGTGAGACAAAACTTTAATTACGCCTCTCTGGATTTTCTGTGATTAGATGTATGACGAAGCGTGAGAGATTTGGATTGGCTTTACGACAGCAGCTCATAAATGTAAGAGTGTTCGAAGCAGCAAGAGAAAAAAAAGGCTTTTTCAAACAGAGAACGAGAGCCAAGAAACTGGCTTCTTCAGAGGAGTGAGAATTTGATCTGATCRGTAAAAGCCCCCACAGAAGTGCGCCACGGTTTTCTGTGCACCGAGCTCTGGTTTCCTCATCACGAGCAGCCCGTTCATTAGGTAAGCATGGCTCCAGGGTTGAATTCACACTCGGTTTGCCCTCTCCCATGACCCCACTTGCCAGTCCCCAAACACAAGTGCAGGTTCGCATAAACAGACGCGAGCATAAAGTGCTGCTTCAGCCCTTATGGAACATGCCACGCTTCCTTCTAACAGCATACTGTTACAACCTCTACACATGACCACCGTGCTCCTCATCCCTCATCCTGATTAATGTACACAAATACGCTCGAACCCCGCCCAAATCTCGGTGTCAGTCCTAATCAGTGACACAATCTGCAAAAGTGATCATGGAAAATGCTCCCTTCTCCTCCACCTCCCGCCCTGCAGTACCAGCTTCTCCTGCCTGTGGAGGCCCAGTTGTGCTCCACTGACTCTCTGGGATAAATGGAGTTAATGGGAGTCATATGCTAGCAGTTGGTTTGAGGCAGGCCTGCATGAAACATTTCTAGGCTTTATGTAGTCATGAGGCTGGAGAAGAAGGAACGGACAGTGATGACATCGTGAAATAACATGACATGCTCATATTTATTTCAGATTTTCCCTGTAAGAATTACTGTCCAACAAAACAAATTTAATACCCAGTGAGTGCACGCCCTTGTGCTCTAGCATGTTGAATGCAACAAGCCCAACTTAACAGAAAACCACATGTTACATGGGGAGGATGAGATTGCAGGCCTGGAGAATCCATTAGCCTTATGTGTTGTTCCACATTAGAGAGCTGTCATTAGCCAACAGTCATTCTGTTCTACAGTGATATTACATGTTTTATGGTACTGTGTTGGGTGGTGGTTAATGAAGGAGTGAGGTTTAATCCCAAAGTCTCGCAGCTACTTTTTTCTTAAGAAAGTACATCTCAACTTTCCCATCGTTTCTCAACATCATTCACAATGTATCAAAAAAGCAGAACCAAGCAGCAAATGCACCATCTGCCAAACACCTAACTCCCTTCACAAGTTTTAAAAGTTGTTTTTATTGCATTTTTTTGTCAAATGCGAATGCAGGCAACCACATATATGTTACTCCTCTGCTCAAATTTCCTTGCYACATCTGTCATTTGACGCAAGGGATGTTTTTTCCGGGATTTGGTAAAATATACCGTCTGTCGCAGTATGTTTAAGTCTCCATATGTCCAATGCTTCATGTGGCAGAGCCAAACGTTCTTCAGTTTGTGAGGATGAGGAAGCAGTTGATCATGTTGCAGGCCATTTTGTTTGCCTAGACAGTAGCTTTATGGGTGTGTAGCTGTTCTGATAACTGAGTGGTTGAGCTGCTTTAAGTGTCAGGGTGGTAAAGGTCAAACAGAAAGACATATGTCAGTCCCCCTTTAGGTTTTTCATCTAGTTTTAGCTGTTAAAACGATTCCTTTGTGAACTGTTTCTTTTAGACCAAGTTAACCGTAAAGGCAGTTATAGGGCGTGTACTGCAAATGCAAACATTTATGCATTTTGTTTGCTTTTACTTTTTTTCCATTTCCTTTACATGTGTGTTTGTGTTTCAGTGTCTGCAAAATATCTCATGAAGCACTGGACAAATTTTAGGAACCCTTTAAGAAAATGATGGTTGAATGCACATCTAAAAATATTATCTTTTTGTTGTCAACTGGATTCAGGATGACTGTCACACCCACTGTCCTTAGAGAACACACATTTTAGTCAATCTTACAGATGTTGTGATAAATTTTGGTTTGGCTGTAGCTGAGACTTTTTAACAATACATACTCCAAGTGCTACTCATTATTTAAAGCCCCAAACTTTTTTATTAAATTTTAAAGTCAGACCTTTGTTCCTCCACAGCTGCTAAAAGCGATACTCCCTTTTTGGAACATCTCTTTGACAAAGTCCGCCAGACAAAACGATAGCAAATCCATTCACTCTTCTCGATGCAGCGTGGCTTTAACTGAGTGTTTTATGTTTTCTGCATTTTCTTTTTATCACAGAGATAAGGCGACGAATGAGCAGAAACCCCCTCCTGCCGCCRTTGTCCTCGCTCACACCGTTCCTCAGATGGGAGGTCACCAACTACCGTTCTGCTTTGCCCAAATGTGCCCTCGCCGCTCCGCGCCTGTGTAACATGGCTGCCCATGGCCGTTTCCTGTACGTGAACACCTCGGAGCGGAGCTACTTGTTACGATGGTGATCATTTTCTCAAAAACACTGGAAAAGAAGAAGGGTGTCCGTGATGTAACGTCCAAGAGCATCGAAAGACAGAMGGTGAGAAAAACGCCATTTATTAATATTTCTTAATCTTCACAGTGTGGCTTGTTTGTGAGAAGCCACTCCTAAGCACTAGATCACTTATTTTTTTGCAAACACTTTGGTTTCACTTCTAAAAAGTCAGAAACCAGATATTTACATTTTATTTTCATCCTGCTACTCCCCTTTACACTGCACTAAAGAGACACTTTAAGTTGCCGCTTCTGTCCTGCTGTCATAAAAGAAAACTCCCAACATTTCCTCAGATATCCTCTAAAGATGTCTTTATTAAGAAAAAGATGTCTTACAGCCAGGGCTTGAAGCCTTGAAATAGAAGTTTAATTTAGTCTCGCCTCTGTTTTTTTTTTAGATCCCAGCTCCACCTTTAACCTGTAAATAAAAAGCTGGAGGGCTGATGTGTTTAGTTTAGGCTGCATCACGTTTTCACTCCTACAAGTTAATAAGCACTGAGGTGTAAGTGTACCAGCTCTGTCTGTCATTTAATCATCTTCTCCAACACAATACACTTTGTTTTGGATTCAGTGAGCTATATCTTAGAAAACATTTTTTTCTTGTTGTAGTAATAAACCCAAGGTGAGTCAAAGCAATGGACGGTATTACRGYATGTTATTTTTGTCCTTTGGACATMCACCACCTTGCCTTAATGCATTAATTAAAAGAAAACAACATAGTAAAACAAAAAAACTAATTACCAAATTAAAAACCAAATTACTTTTGCTATTAGAAAAAATGAAAACATCAGAAACCTTGTACTGTGTGAGTTTAGTAATTCGTCGGCTGGTTCCCTGGTTATCAAATGTTTTTATATAACAAATATTTTGTATGTTTTGTTTAAGTTTCCATAATCAGAGGATTAAAAAAATTAAAAGCCTGTGATAAAATAGATTCTCCTATAGTTGAGGCCTCCRTCCTCATTTAGCAACATATTTTATTCTGCTTTCAATTTTTTAGTTTAAAAAGATGTTCATGTTTAATTTTTTTTAAGTTATGTTTTATATTTTCGAATTTCCACTCATCCAAGTAGATAGAGGAAATTAAAAAATGCATACCAAGCAGAAACTCAGGTGTCCTAAGGGTGATTCGTAGACTGGTTTCAGTTCATCTGATCAGGATTAATGTGTTTGTTGGTGTTGTTGTTGTTCCCAACCAACTCTTGAGGGGCATGCTTGGCTCTAAAAGCTGCTAAATGCTCCGCTGGTCACCAGTCAGTGGTCGAAGTATGTGCTACTCCCCGTTTCATTTCTGTTTGTTGCTGAGCAGCCGGCACACAGCAAGGTTTTCAGTACTGGTTTTCGGAAGCTACAGTATAAACTGACTCAACCTTTTCACTGGTAAAATGAGTAGAAATTTGTCAGCTCGTGTTATTTTTTTATGTCTCCCGTTCATATATTTTTTAAAACAGTTTATATCTTTTTGACTGTTTAATCTCCTACAGAGTGATCTCCACACCATGAGCAGAGGGACCACCCTCTTCTCCTGTGGAACTGTGGGTGAGTTCTTCGTTCTTCCTCCTCTCTGTAGTTAAAATGTGAACTCCTATGTTCTTTGCACCCAACTCCGGCACAGTAAATTGCTCCGTTAATTACTTCATAAGTCGAGCCATCGAGGTCAGTGACCTCAGATACAACTTATTTGTTTTTTTTTATCCCCTCTGTCACACTCAATCTCTCACTTCTCCCTTTCTCCATCTGTCAGTCATCCCCCTCTCATGATAAGGGTGCACCTGCCTCTATACTACGTTGCACAGCGTTCTCATGGGAGTGAAATGTAATTGAATATGCTGTTACTTATGTCAACAATTTCCCTTAGGCTCTTTTAAAGCTGCAGCCATTACTCCCTGTGTTAAAAGACATCGACTGTAAATACAAAACCTCCACAACCACTCACTATCAACTTTATTTGTTTGAGTGTGGCACGCTCTTTTCTTTTCTATTACCAGTCCTGACGTTAGCATGCCCGTCAATGCCTTTTGTATATCTTATTCAAAGGTTGGCCTTTTGAAGTTAATCCGAATCTCCTTTTGTCAAGTTGTTTTACTGACATTCCTGTCGGGTCATCTCTTGTAGCCCGTGCGCATTGTTTCGTCTGCCCAAAACAGTGATTTCAGGTCACCAGTCCCTGAGAGAGCATGCCAAACAGAGACAGGCATTTAAGAGGATGGGATATAGTTTTTATGGTTGCAGTGTTATTGCCTGCACTTTAGACTTATATTAAGGACAAGTTATGTGGCAAATTATACTGCTTCTAAAAGCATATTTTGTGCCAGCTGTTTGACTAGTTGACATTTATGTGTCTTTAATTTTTCTGGAATGAACACTAATGCAGGTTTAGATGCTAAAAAAACAAATATGATACTTGTATTATCTGATAAATTTCCTCAGACATTTTCCAGATAATTACAGCAAGTGGATCAACTTGCCTGCTTTGTTCTGAGGAACTTAGATCAAGCTAGAATTAAAATGAGATTTTATTGATGTTAGTTTTTCTTTTGTGTGTAATTATAAAAACGATTAAAACAGAAGAGTTTGTATTGATTCATAMGTTCACAACAAAGATTTTTAGCAGCATGTGTGGAAAAACAACACATTATAATCATGTTGAGTCACACTTTCGATTGCTTGACTACACAGTAACAAAACAAACAGCACCTTTTTTGTTTTCATTGCTACTCTGCTTGTATAAAAATGCTTGTGTAAAAAGTTTATTTCTGTCAGAATTGGGGATTTTAGGTTTTAGTACCAGTTTCACATGAGCAGCACTAGTTTAGCTATTCAGTTTTTTGTTTTTATTTTTCCCCAAAGTAGAATTCTGTCATCCATCTTCAGACAAATGACAGTTTTTGAACACAAAAGCTCATAGTTTTTGTGTGTGTGTTCTGAATTGCGTGTTTATTTCTGGTTAATAATGTTATTAGACCAGAGGTGTCCAAAGTGGGGTCCGGAGTCCAAAATTGGCCCACCAGCAGGTACCCTGGTTGTCATCTTTTGTCGCTTTATGTAGAAACATATTCCCTTCTTCTTTTTTTTCTTTTTTTTGAAAAAAAATTTTTTTTAAAAGAATAAATAAATAAATAAAATAAATAAATAAAAAATATTTAAAAAGTTGAAACATATTTCCATTTAGAGTCATTCCATCCATTGGCTCAATAACTATGGGGATGTAGTGTAGTTTTCACTCATGGTTCTGACTTTATCTTTGAATTATATTAAGATTAAATATGAAATACAAGTAACTACAAAATACTCAAATGCTCATATTTTATGGATTTATGAAATGTCCCTTTTTTTTGGCATTCTCGGGGAAAAAGTTTGTGCTCCCCATCTCTTATTCAACAGCTCAATCCTACAAAAACAATTTCTTCTTACTCCCTTTCCCCCTTTCCCCCCGTGTTTTCAAGTTACAAGAAACAGTTTACATAATGAAAATCTTTGCTGTGTCTTTTTAGTTTAACACATTTTTGTTCAGACTAATGAGTGTGAATTTGTTTGTTTCAAATCATTTCAGAAGCAGATGGATGGTTCGACCTGGGGCGAAGCTGTGCCGTCCAGCAGAAATCTCCGTGCCAGTCTGATTCCAGTCTGGAGAGCTTGTGGGATGTGATGCCTGAACCTGGGAGCCAACTGTGGACCAAGGAACCAGGCAGCACCACTGCTATCACCAGCCTGATAAGAGATCTGACTCTGAGCAACAGCAGCCCGATCAGCACCCACGGGACGTCCACCACGGCACATTACTCTACCACCGCCGCCAGTCAAGCTCCTGCAGCACCGCCAAGCAAACGTCAGTGCCGCTCCCTGTCGTTTTCCGATGAATTCAGTGGGTTCCGCTCGTCTTGGAGACCCCAAGGCTCCCGAGTGTGGACGTCCGTGGAGAAACGTAGGTGCCACAGTGGAGGAAGTGTCCGAGCAGGAGGGGCGGGCCATTTCCCCATCATGCAGCGCAGCTCCAGCTTCAGTTTACCTTCGCRCTCTAGCCTCCCTTCAGATGGAATGGTGGACCTGCAATTCTTCAACCAGCAACTGCCTCTCCACCCTCAGTTCACCGCCTCGCCAGTATCCCCTACCTCTCCTTTCTCACAGCACCTTCATCACTGCCACAATCAGGTCTTCCTCAGGCCTCTGTCGCTTTCCCACGAGCAGATCAGTCCGACSGAGCTCCAGAAGGAGGAATCATCGGAGGCCAGCTCTCCAGACTCCACGCCAGAGCTGAGGAGACGCTCTGAAAGGAGGGGTGCGGGGAAAGGGTGCCTGTCTCGGAGCAAATCTCAGCCTTGTGTGCTGAACGACAAAAAGATTGCTATGAAGCGCCGAAGACCAGAGGATGCCCAGGAGCAGCGTCCCTCCCTGGACTTGGCAAAGATGACTCAGGTTAGGAGGAACCGTTGGCGCACACACAGACAAGCACACACAGGCTTGCATTCATTTGAGTGCAAATAAATGTAACTGACTAGGTCTAAGGTTTAGCAACACTTTTCTCCTCAGTTGACATTAAATCAACATTTCTGATGTTAATGCTGCAAGCTGTCCTTGACTGCATTTTAGCCAAATGCCAGACAAAATACCCTCACCACACAGACAAATTATGTCATGTTTTTACATAAAGGAAAGTCCAAGCGATCCACAAACATAGCTACAATTTACTCTTTCCAAGGCTGATTGGACTGGGTTAAATACAACTGAGTGAAGCTCTCTGGGTCGTCAGTCCAGGGTGTTGAGGCCAAGGGATTTTAGGCTTTCCTCCTGGAGTGGTGCTCACTGCTAAAGAAGCATTCCTCATGTTCGCTCACACTGCCTAACAAGCAAGTCAAGCCTCTGTTTTTATCATTTCATTAAGTCTGTTGGGCAAATACGTTATCCAAAGGCTGGACTCTTAAAGGTCATTTGTGTCCCTCTTGCAGCTGCTACCCTCCATTTTTCACTGGTTGCAGAGCTGCATCCTTTTCTTGTGCCTTTTTTTATCTACTATCAGGCAGTTAAAGGAACAAAAGGTGATTAATTGCAGGAATATGTAGATATATTGAACATTTCTTTGCCTTTCCTATGTCAAACTTTTTTTTTGTTCTTTTGTAAGGTTAGAGTAATCAGGGACACATTCAGAGAGTATATGACCCCAGGACAAACTCAAACCTAAAACAGCATGATGGAATTAAAAGGCATGTACTGATTTAATGCTTAGTAATCCTCTAAAGTTGCTACAGCCCTGCTCCATGTAATTTGTCTTATTTTTTTTTCATTAAAATTAATCTGTAGCATCAAAACCAGAATGCATTTAGGCCTGATTTAGAGACTCACAATCAAGAGTACAGACCGTCTATTTTCACTTTGTTTTCCTCAGCACAGCTTTTATATTGTACTTTAAACTGTTCCTACATAAGACCCCGTGTCAAGGGAATTTGTTCTTTTCCTGTTCCCTGATTAGAAAGTACCATCAGTTTGTTCATCTACCCTCCCTTCCTTTTTTCAAAACCAGTTGTGCTCCCAGCTTTTCACCCTCAGGAGGGCTGGATCAACTAGGCCTGGGTAATAAAGCCCAGCAGGCATGTTTCCTCTAGTCATGCCAGCTGCTAAAAAGGGGAAAATCAAGCTCACCGATTGAACATTTATACTCACAAATACACAAAGGCAGATTTGAAGTYGGTTTTATCTCTGCTTTTAATGACTCTGCTGATTACAAGCCTGTCCTGAGAGTATAGCAAGTTGTTTTCTTGGCTCAGCTTTTGCAGATCATCTTTATCTATTTGCACGACAGCCAGCATTGTTGAAACGAGTTAGACTGTGCAGGTTAGATGGGTCATTGCAAGTCTGCTGTAACTGTGTACTTTCTCACCCTCGTGCATGCCTGGGGCAAGAAATGTAGCACAGTTTGCATGCAGTATAATTTAAAATGAATTGAGTCGACTTTGGCACAATTGAAACTTGATGTGTTGTTGCTAAAAAAAGTCTTTCTTTATATCAGTAAGTAGGCCTGTAGCAATTTTGCTGGATGATACAGTAAATTGCCTCAGTAATTACTGGGATAAAAAATAATATCGTTTGGAGTCCATTTTAAACTGATATAATGGTACTACCTGCCTCTTTCCAAGCTAGCATAATTTCTTCTTTATGTGTCTTCCTCTGGTTTCATAAAATTATTGCAGTCACCCGCATGCTGCTTTTGAATTTTATGAAATTTATGTAGTGTAAAAAAAAAAAAAACAATGCTCAGCAAACCCAAGGTTTGGCACTGTGCCCTGAGGTATCACCAGCTTTAAGGAGGCACTCCTCTAGCTAAATGCCTATTTTCGGGGTTCTCATGCTACAGGGGTTATGCGTGCACCCGGCAAATACCTGACACCTGTGTTTACGTCTCGTAGAGAAGAGGGAGACAAGAAGAAAACAAACAAACAAACAGGCAAATGAATATTATCAATCTCGTTTTTTAAATAGACCTCATTTTATCATGTGATTGATTGATTTCTTGCTTATAGCGACAGGCCCAACAACAAGTCTACATCAAATGTTTCCAGAACCTTAACCAAGTCTGAATGGAATTTCTAGCTATATTTAATAACCTCAAAATCTTAGAAACATTTGTTAAAGATCTCCATTTGAGCCAGGAATAAAGGTGCAACTTAATGATACCAAGCTGCTTAGAAAGAAAGTGCCAGTCTGGAAACGCAGAGCTACATGTTCCCCATAAGAAATTATTTACAGATTTAAGCTGCAGTCATAAAAATTTAGCTGAATTCATTGATTCCACCTTTGAAGTAGATCACTTGAACTGTAGGAATGAAACATTAAAGTGCCCATGACATGCATATCCATGAAATACACAAAGTCAAAGAAAATATATTAATATTTAAGAAACTTTGCATAATACATATGATTTTACCCGTTATGTCACATAACTAGCATATTTTCTTTTGAATTTTGCTCAGCTTAAGTGAGACAGGAAGTGACATCAAAGGGGAACTCTTTGAGAAAGAAAACTCCCTGGTTTTTGTTTATTGAAACAATATTATTTGAACTCTGACTCTTTCTCATCACTCTATGATAGTGATTAAAATAATCTAAAGAAACATCAAATTCCTCTCTACTGTCTGTGTGGTTAGCCATTTTAGCAAGGCTCTGTTTACGTTCAGACATTCCCCTTTGACATCACTTCCTGTCACTTCACATGCAAAAATCTCAACCATTGTTCATCTCAGTGGAATGAAATCTTTTTAACAATATGTTATCAAAGTTATCTTTCCAAAAATACATTCATATTTATTATAAAAACTTTATGTCACAGGCACTTTAAGTTTGCTGTAGTTTTTGTTTCCCTTTTTTAAGTAGACTGAAATCATAAACCAATCTTTAACTGACAACTRTTTGCTTCTGTTGCAATGTGGGATAGTCTCCTTTTCCTTCTAAAGACTTAGGTGTGTGTCAAACCAAACTGCTGAACTCAAATGGTTCCTTGCCTAAGGCTGTCGATAAAGACGCTTCTTTTTTTATCTCACACCTACCCTGCTTGTTGGATTTCATGTCTGTGTAGATGAATAACAAGTTTAAATGGGAAAACAAACATAAATGCGAAGTTGGCACTGCACATGGTGTACTGGAGGAGTTTGACTTCATTTTAGGTGTGTTTGATGTTCACAGGGTTAAAGACTGGGACAGGTCAGGTCTCCAGCCTGTTTTGTCAGTGGAACATGTTATAATTTAGTGTCTGGATTCCTCGACCACGTCAATGAAGGCAGGTGTGAATTCTGAGGGTGGGTGGATGAATTGCTAATTGGCTGTAACTCAACTACTGTAGGGATTTACATGCTGCTGCCCCCAAGATTCTTTGAATATCCTCCTTGTCAGCGGTGTATGTCAGTTTGCTCCTCTGCCCACTGTCTTGCTTTTATCCCTGGCTGCCCTTTCATGTTGGCGCGACCATGTTTTTTCCACAGAACTGACTGAGTGTTGCAAGTTATAGGACGAGGAATCTTATCTCTTGATTGTAGGTCACTTGCTGAATGATTGTTGATGCAGCGTACGCTTTGTTTTTCAGGAAATGGCTTGAGTGGGGTAAGTCTGGACACTTAATAACTTAAGTTGTACAGTCTGAAAGGCAATCTTTGGCTTTGCTGCGTTAGCAGTTCAAGTGGTAGAAGGGGGCGCGTTGAGCAAATTGAAAGTGTGTGTGTATGTGTGTTAGGGGTGTAAGAAAATATCGATACACTGAAATATCGCGATATTTCATTTCCCGATACTGTAWCGATATTCTAAAGCCCTGTATCGATTTTTTATTAAGGCTTAAAATGTTAACTTTCCTGCCAGCCGTTCATTTTTATGTTGTAGTTCAGCCTCTGGCCACTAGTTSTCAGCAGTGAGCCAGCCATTTGGATCCTCTACTTCTTGAGGTACAGGCTGTTGTTAAGTGTTGGGTGACCATATTGTGAATTGATATTAAAAACTAAAAGCTGCAAAAAATATGTTTTCAAACTATTTATTGGCAAATTTAGTCTAATAATTGAAAACATGGATGAAATAAGGAATATGAAACAAATAAAATAAAATACATACGAAGCAGAACACAGCTAAATGTATCAAAATTATGTCTATGTGATATTAGAATTTTCTGAGGCAATGAATTTTGGTTTTTCATTTTTTTTCCTATTGAGGTTTTTATTTAATAGAATTTTTGGACAAAAAATCGCAATATATCGCAATATATCATCTTGCTTACAGTATCGCAATATATCGGGATATGTCGTATCGTGAGCCCTCTTTCATGATATGTATCGTATCGCCAAATTCTTGCCAATACACAGCCCAAATGTGTGTGCTCAGAGAAAAGTTGGGATCAGGACAGAAAGCTGCACTCCTGCAGGAAGGCTGGCAGACAAACTCCTCTCTCCTCTCTATTTATGTAGTCCCAGTGGCCCAAGTTTAGACTGCTCCCCCACCTCAACCCTTCTGCACTCACTCCATTTCTGGGATGGCAGACATGGTGATCATAACTGACTGTCAAGCCTCGAAGGCTTGCAGGATCACCCAGGTGGGCGTCTGAAGGTGTGTCTTCTTGCTGTGTACAATGGCATGTTTCCACTTGTCATAAATGTGCGTACATGCAGTACATGCATGTCAATTGTATAGTGAAGTCGTGCAGATTGTCGGCTTTGTTTCAGCATCAACCAACTGAACAAATGTCTTCTTTCATTTTCATCTCCAGGCATTCAAATATATGTTTTGTGCTTTTATAGTAAAATCCAAACACACAGACTTAACACAAAGGCATCCACACACACACACACATACACACAAATAATTGATGCAGAGGTGTGCATGTGTATAATTACCTGCCAGGAATGAGTTCAGCCCTTTGCTTGTACGTCTGTCCTTTCTTTTGTTTTGTTTGCCATCATTTGTTCACCACGTTCAAGATACCTTTCCATGTTGAGTATTTTTTGATTTTTGATTCTTTTTTTTTTTTGCTGCTGTGACACATTATCAGAAATGTWTTTGCCTAAGCCTTCCTGTGTGTGCTTATTCCACTGCTTTTTGATCCTATATTGTAGGTCGCATCTTTTCATAAGAGCCTCGTTCTTTGTAGTAGCGTCTGTCTGAATACCAGTTTGTTTCACTGTTGTTTGAACAGTCAAATTGTCCCATTCAAGATTTAAACGATCTAAACACGACTCCCTGGAAATACCTCACACTGCTTGGTAGTTGTTAGTCGTGTATGTGAAGACATAACAGCATTAGAGTCCATGTGTGAGGCAGCCGTGATGTGTGTGTGCGTGCGTAGATGTGTTTCGTCTGTCAAAGCTGGGTACAGAGCAGAAATCCAACCCTGGTCCCCCACCACCACTACCGCCCAAAACCCAGTCTGCCTCAGTGGATTTTATAGAAAGCATATTGTGTAGAAGCTGCCTCTCCCCCCCTTCTTTCTTCGCTTTCGTCTCCTCCTCTGCTGTGATAATTAGTAGTGGGGTAATACAGGGGGTTAAGATTGAGAGCTTAGAAATCCCCTTTTCCACTCCAGCGGTGTAACTACAGAAGAAGAAAAAAACCTCCCACACTTCACATGATCACCTAAAGCACTTGCAGATGAATTGTCATACATGTGAAATTTATTTAGGAAACATAATTGTTTTCCTCAAGTTTTCTTATGGATCTATTTTATTTACCGTTATTTTACCAGGCAAATCCCATTGAGATCTCAGATCTCTTTTTCAAGGGCGGCCTGGGCCTGAAGGCAACCTATTGTACATGTTTTTGTGTTGTGGGGGAAACCGGAGTACCCGGAGAAAACCCACGCAAGCACGAGGAGAACATGCAAACTCCGCACAGAAAGACCCCAGGTCCGAACCGGGGATCGAACCCAGGACCTTCTTGCTGTGAGGCGTCGGTGCTAACCACTGAGCCGTCGTGCCGCCAAATTACTAGCAAAATTACGGAAAGGAAGAAAATCAAACTCCCGGTTTTATTTTACCAGCCAAACCCATGTCTCAACACATGCTCGACAACATTACAGGTGTCTATCACACAAGCCGAGGCCTTCTGGTAAAAAACCTCATCTCTATTCACTGCCATGCCTCGAACATCTGCTGCTGGAGGCACTCCAGAGATCATTAATCCCTTCACTGCACTGCAAGACCGCCTTCCTTTTTGTTGCAAAGGGGACATCGGGGTGAAAAGAGAGCATGAAAGCAGACAGCATTTTGTTTGAATCTATTTATGGTCAAGTTTAGGGTGGAAAAATGCAGCCTTTTGTTTACGTATATACGTTACCTGACTCTCCCTGGAGTGTGCTTTAAAAGAAAATGTCATAACCTCCGTGATTAACAATGGCTTAAATAATAAATGCTCTTTGCTTTTCAGGGTTGGTTTAAGCCTGTGTTTCAGAGTGGCTTATAGTCACGAATAAGCCCAGACCACGTTTAAACAAAAGATACCTTTTTGTGGTTTGCAGCTCATCCCAACATTTTTTCACAGAAGGTCCAAAGCTTTCTGTATGTTCCTCAGTGGCGTTTATGGACTCATGTTTACATGTTTACATGCAGTCAATGAAAGGGAATGCCAGCTTTCAGCTGCCCACACAGATGGGCAAATCTGCCAAATCTCTTTCTAACTTTCCGGGAAAACCTGACCTCAAATTTGCACTGCCAAACTCATTTAACTTTTATAGTTTCAGTAAAGCGACGCTCCAGTACGATGCACAAACAGACATTTATTTCTCTCTTGTCTCTCCTTTTCAGAAACTTCAGACCTTTCAAAGCCTGAGCTGGCCTGGATTCTCAGCCTCCGACAGCTTCCAGTCAAGCCTGCCTTCCTTCGATGCTGCCAGCCAATCGGAGWCAGCCTTCACGGCTGTGTCCAAGCTGGGACTAGAATCGCGAGAAAAGGTGATAGATGACGAAGAGGAGGATTCCTCCTAYGAGGAAGTGGATAGTGATTCTGCTTACAGCGTGGACTCGCGGCCTGGGTCTCCTGCGTGCATTGCGGACACCAAACGCACCCTCTGGAAGGGTGACCGTGGAACACAGAAGGATATTTTCCAGCTTGGGGGAGAGCTGGACCTTGACCAGATTGAAAGAAACTGAACATTTTAAAGAGATTTTAAAAGACTGCGTGAACGTTTGTTATAGAAAGTCACATCTGATGAACCAAGAAGTGACTATTAATGTGTCCTGTAGGGAAACGAATGTTTAGTTTTGAAAGGGAACAATGTTAAAAAAGACTGAGAAAGTACGTCAYGAAAAGTTGCCTTCTTAATGACACATATGCATTTGAACACTCTTTTTTTTTTTTTTGCTTTAATCAAAAAGCAGTAACCTTAGTTGTTTATGTTTTTGAATTCAGCGTTTGCCTTTTCTCAGGAGTGGAAAAGTGAGACTGTCTTAAAAAAAAATCCCAGCCCTCACTGTTTTTTTAACCTGGTRACCTTTCCAAAATCAGCTCACCTTAGGTTTTATAGTACTGTAGCATTAGCTGTGATCTCATTTATTTAGCTCCAGTTTTCATTTTTCAGAGTAATTAGAAGTTGGGGTAAAAAAATTACACACATGTATGTATATTTACAGAGTTTAGTTTGGCCTTTCCTCATCTTTTGTGCACACATAAATCTTTTTGTCTGAATGTAGGCTCAATAAGCTTTATGAAGAGTTTTTAAAAAAGTGCCTTCTTTTGAATGCRCGTTCTTGTAGTCCTCAAGAACCCTGCCTCACTGAAAGCCACTGTCTCTGATGTTCATATGCAAGTTGTATGTTTGAACCAAACACTGAATCTCTTTCGTGTTCAAATGGCAGTGTGTATTTTTTCTACAGAACAGAATTTTTGATGCGCTGTTTGTTGATGAAGCGAGATTGCGAAGCCTTTCCTCTGACAAAATGGAAATAAATTCACAACCTGCATCTACACGTCTGGTTTTATTTCAGTTTGTCAAGGCTGCCTGCTTTTTTTCTTCTTCTTTTCTTTAATTTCCGTGTACAACAGATTTTATTTTGACTGATCAAAAGTTTGAATGAGCGGCAAAGTTTCCAGACGTTCTGTACAAGCTGCACCCACTCTCCCACAATCACTTCCTGCAGACGCTTCAGAATTATTATATTGACGCCCACTTCTTCTCGCTTCCATTTTCCATTTCGCTTTGATTTTATTGGGCAAAAATTTTGATATGGTCTCTTCACGTCAGCGATCAAGTTCTTTTTCTTTACAATTGTTAATCTAGTTTTCATAGAAACAGTGCATCGCAAACCATGAATATGAATAATCTCATGTTTCTCAGCTTTAGAGTATACAACAGGGAGTRCATTAATAAGAGTGTGACGCAGTTAGCACAGATGGACTCCTTATCAACCAACAAGACATACTGCAGGACAGGGCGGTGGAAATGTTACATGACCTTTGTCCTAAAGGCTCACATTTGATCAGGTCTTTTTCAGGCTTGTAAGCACCACAGCTGCTTTAATTTTGCTGAAAAWAGTAGCTTCAAATGCAAACTTTTACAAACCTGTCCTGCATGTGTGCCATTTCTCTGTAACCCAAAGCTATATTTGCTTTCCAGCCACAAAACATCTCTAATAATCCATTTTTTTTTGCTTTAAGTACACTCCTTTAAAAATGATAKGAAAATAAATAAATCAGCTTTATCTTTTTATCCTTATGAATTGAGGAGGACCATATTGCTATTTCTAACTTGGTAATTCTATCACACTGGTTTTGCTTCCGAATTAATGATGCAATACATAAAGTGCAAACATTAGGTGTTACTATGATGTTAAATCTATGTTCTAATGAATGCACCACTTAAGATAATGTCAAATCAACCTATTTTTACCCATGATTTGCACTTGCAGAGAATCATTGGGTTTCAGAGAGATATTCAGTATGTCAGTCTAATACAAGAGACAAAGGGAGTTTTTTTGGCCTCAGGATTCCATTTCTGCTATTTAAAGATGATGTGGTCCTCTTGGCATCTTTTATTTGTGATCTTCAGCTCTTACCAAAGCAGTTCGCAGCCGAGCATGAAGCGGCAGCTCCAAATCTGAGGCCATTGCTTTCTTCGGGTTGGGGGTGAGGYTCTGCCTGAAGTGGAAAAGTTCACTTATTTTGTTTTTTTGTTTGCTTTTTTTTGTTTGTTTTTTCACGAGTGAGGGAAGAATGGAGCGTGAGATTGACAGACGAATCAGTGCAGCTTCCACAGTATTGTGGACTCTGTATCGGTCTGTTGTGGTGAAGAGGGAGCTGAGTTGTAAGGCGAAACTCTGTTTACCGGTCCGTCTACGTTCCTAATCTCACATACAGCCATGAACTTTGGGCAGTGACTGAAAGAACAAGATTGCAGACCCAWGCGGTCTAAATGTGTTTTCTCTRCAGGGTAGTTGGACTCTCCCTTAGAGATAGGGTGAGAAGTTCAGTTATCTGAGAGATACTTCAGAGTAGAGCGGCTGCGCATCGAGAGGAGCCAGTTGAGATGGTTCAGATATCTGGTAAGGATGCCTCCTGAATGGCTACCTAGGAAGGTGCTTCCATAATGTCCAACTGGGAGGAAACCCTGAGGAAGATCTAGGACACACTGGAGAGACTCTTGTCTGGCAACACATTGGAATCCTCCCTGAAGAGCAGGAAGAGTTGGCTGGGGAGGTCTTGGTTTTCCTGCTCAAGCTGCTGCCCCCCGCGAACCCGACTCTGGAACAAGCAATTGCTAAAGGACTGGAGAATGGGTTGTCACCACTGTTTTTGTAAAAAGTGTGATGAGTCAAAGTATGACAAGGTTTTCTTTCTTTCTTAATTTTTTTTAAGTTTACAGTTTTTTATAGTATATCAGATATTAAGTTTGTGATTGGGCTTTAGTAACTGGGCGTGATTGATTAACAAACTTAAAGGGGCAATAT